TCCCTGATGGATTAAAGTACCCTGGTCCTGCTCCTACATTTAAGAACATAAGAACATAAGAGACGCCAATGTTGGATCAGGCCAAAGGCCCATCCAGTCCAACACTCTGTGTCACACAGTGGCCAGAAATACCAGTGCCATCAGGAGGTCCAGCAGTGGGGCCAGGACATTAGAAGCCCTCCCACTGTTGACCCCCCCCCCAAGCACCAAGAAGACAGAGCATCACTTGCCCCAGAGCCCCTAGCTATACCTTGTGGCTAATAGCCACTGATGGACCTCTGCTCCATATGCTTATCTAATTCCCTTTTGAAGCCGTCCATGCTTGTAGCACCCACCACTTCCTGTGGCAGTGAATTCCATGTGTTAATCACTCTTTGGGTGAAGAAGTACTTCCTTTTATCCGTTCTAACCCGACCGCTCTGCAGTTTCATGGAGTGCCCACGAGTTCTTGTATTGTGAGAAAGGGAGAAAAGTACCTCTTTCTTTACCTGCTCTTTCCCATGCATAATCTTATAAACCTCGATCATGTCACCCCTCAGTCGTCTTTTCTCCAAGCTAAAGAGCCCTAAGCGCTTTAACCTTTCCTCATAGGGAAAGTGTTCCAACCCTTTTATCATTCGAGTTGCCCTTTTCTGCACTTTTTCCAAAGCTATAATATCCTTTTTAAGGTGTGGTGCCCAGAACTGCACACAGTATTCCAAATGAGGTCTCACCATTGATTTATATAGGGGCATTATTATATTGGCTGATCTGTTTTCAATACCCTTCCTAATAATCCCCAGCATAGCATTGGCCTTCTTTATTGCAGTCACACACTGTCTCGACATTTTCAGTGAGTTATCCACTACAACTCCAAGATCTCTCTCTTGCTCAGTCTCTGCCAGTTCAGACCCCATCAATGTGTATTTATATTTAGGATTTTTGGCTCCAATGTGCATCACCTTGCACTTGGCCACATTGAACCCCATTTGCCATGTTGACGCCCACTCGCCCATCCTTGCCAGATCCCCTTGGAGTGCCTCACAATCCTCACTGGTTTTCACCACCCTGAACAACTTTGTATCATCCGCAAATTTAGCCACTTCACTGCTTACTCCCATCTCCAAATCATTAATGAACAAGTTAAAAAGCAGTGGACCAAGTACTGATCCCTGTGGTACCCCACTGCTTACCACCCTCCACTGAGAAAATTGCCCACCTACACTCACTCTCTGTTTTCTATGAACTAGCCAGTTTTTGATCCATAAAAGGACTTGTCCTTTTATTCCATGATTTTTTAGCACACTTAGGAGCCTTTGATGAGGAACTTCACCGCTCCCTCTATAAATAAATAAATAAATAATATCTATTGGATCCCCCTTGTCCACATGTTTGTTCACCCCCTCAAAGAACACTAACAGGTTAGTGAGACAAGATCTTCCCTTACAGAAACCGTGCTGAGTCTGCCTCAATAGGTTTTGTTCATCTATGTGCCTACTAATTCTTTCCTTAATAATGGTTTCCACCAATTTACCCGGTATCGACGTCAGACTGACTGGCCTGTAATTTCCCGGATCTCCTCTGGAACCCTTTTTAAAGATGGGAGTGACATTAGCTACCTTCCAATCCTCAGGAATGGAGGCAGATTTTAAGGAAAGATTACATATCTTTGTCAGGAGATCTACAAGTTCACATTTGAGTTCTTTCAGAACTCTCGGATGTATGCCATCTGGGCCTGGTGATTTTTCAGTTTTTAAGTTGTCTATCAGTTTTAGGACCTCCTCTCTCGTCACCTCAATCTGACTCAGGTCTTTCAACACCCCTCCTGAAATCAGTGGTTCTGGAGTGGGCAAGCACTTCTCATCTTCCACAGTGAAGACGGAGGCAAAAAATGCATTTAGCTTCTCAGCCATTTCCCTATCATCCTTCAATACTCCTTTTACCCCTTGGTCGTCCAAGGGCCCCACTGCCTCCCTGGCTGGTTTCCTGTTTCTAATGTATTTGAAGAAAGTTTTATTGTTGGTTTTTACGTTTTTTGCTATATGCTCCTCATATTCCCTTTTTGCCTGCCTGACCTCAGACTTGCATTTTATTTGCCATAGCCTGTGTTCTGTTTTATCAGCCTCACTGTGACTAGCTTTCCACTGCTTAAAGGAATTCTTTTTACTTTTTACAGCCTCCATTACTCTGTTTGTTAACCATGCAGGCTTTTTCCTATACCTTTTTGTGCCTTTCCTAACCTGCGGAATATATATTTTTTGAGCTTCTAGGATCGTAGTTTTAAATAGATCCCAAGCTTCCCCAATTGTTTTGACCCTTTCTACTTTTCCTTTCAGTTTCCTCCCCACATGTCCCCTCATATCAGAGAAGTTACCCCTTTTAAAGATAAAAGTGGTTGTGTCAGTCTTTTTGGCCAATTACCTATTTATATAAATGTTGAACTCAACAACATTATGATCACTGTTCCCAAGCGGTGCAATCACTTTTACATCTCTCACCAGGTCTTGAGTGTTACTTAGGACCAAATCAAGGATCGCCTCTCCCCTGGTAGGTTCCGTGACCATCTGCTCCATAGCACAGTCATTTAGAGTGTCTAGAAACTCAATCTCTTTTTCTCGACTAGAACACATATTGACCCAATCAATGTGTGGGTAGTTAAAATCACCTATTACAACACAGGTTGAGAAAGAGGTACTTTTCTCCCTTTCTCACAAGACAAGAACTCGTGGGCACTCAATGAAATTGCTGAGCAGTCGGGTTAGAACAGATAAAAGGAAGTCCTTCTTCACCCAAAGAGGGATTAACACATGGAATCCACTGCCACAGGAGGAGGAGGCGGCTACAAGCATGGACGGCTTCAAGAGGGAATTGGGTAGGCATATGGAGCGGGAGTCCATCAGTGGCTATTAGCCACAAGGTATAGATAGGAACTCTCAGTCTGGGGCAAGGGATGCTCTGTATTCTTGGTGCTTGGGGGGGAGCAACAGTGGGAGGGCTTCTAGTGTCCTGGCCCCACTGCTGGACCTCCTGATGGCACCTGGTACTTTTGGCCACTGTGTGACCCAGAGTGTTGGACTGGATGGGCCATTGGCCTGATCCAACATTGGCTTCTCTTATGTTCTCATGTATGTTCTTAAGTTGTCGCCAAGGCAGGCCTGCCTGGCAGGGGTGTTGTGCAGCTAGTCTTGGGGCTTGTGCAGAAGGACTCTCTGCAGCTCTCTTGCGGGGCCCTGCCACCATATTCTCGCCGTGACCTTGTCAGGCGCATGAGCAACTCACTGTGTGCAAATGAGTCTTGGTGCTCCCAGGAGTCAAGCACAGGAATGAAAAACCTTATCAGGGGAAAGCAGCCCTGCGAAGGCTACTCAGCTGCCGAAGCGGCAAGCGCCGCACTTTCTTCGCAGCGGCAGAATTTCAGCTGCACGACTCACGCCTCGACAGTTCTGCCGAGAAGCCTGTTTGCACAATCCTTTGAGGAGTTTCCGGAAGGACACTGTGGAGTCCCCCCCAGACCACAAAAGCCACGATAAAGATAGAATCAAAAGCAGACAAATGAGCCTCCGGGCAAGGCAGAAACCACAATGACAATGACAAAACTGAACTGCCCGGGGCGGGAAGCATTCCAGCTGCCCAGACGGAGTACGTCAGACGTTTGTTCACCACTGGTGCTCTCTCCAAGGCCGTAAACTCAGAACTACACACCCCAGGTAACCTCGGGGGCGACAGGCGGTTGCTAGAACTGCAGAGGCTGTCTCCGCCAGCGTCTCTTTCCGTCCTCCTCACTGACTTCTGTTTTTAAAACAGCCAATTAATAGATCCTGTCTCGGCTTAGAACGGCCAGCAGAGGACTCACTTCGCCTAGCTCTACAAAAACACACAAGCCTGGCAGCGCAATTCTTCTGGGTGGGGAGAAGCTGCCGAACACGCCAGAAGCCTTCCGACGCAACGCGACGCAACGCAGCCCAGCGGTCGTGGCTGGGATCCAAAGAACCGTGTGGCTATTTCCCCCAGCAGCCTCCGGGGCTGGAGTTTACGCAGCACGAGAGACCCGTTTTGGAGCCCCAAAGGGACTTTCGAAGCAGTTTGTGGTAAGACCGGGGAAAGGAGAGGAGAATACTGCTCTCTTCAAAGCCGCCAAAATCCCCACTGGGCCTGGCCAAGCCCTCTTTGGATCTCAGCCACGGAGTTGCCAGCACAGATCGGTCAGACGTGGCCGGCCAAGAGGGGCGGGCGCGTCTACGGAAAGAAGCGTGGCTAACTGCAGCTACAGGGGCTCCCCTGCCATGCTTGCTTCTATCGCTGACGAAACCAGTCTATTCCCCCCCAAGCCACATGCAGAGGTGACACATCCCGAGCCCACCAACCTTCCTCCTCTTCCGACTTTGCACCTGTGGGTTCAGGACAGAAGGGAATGTTAGGAAAAGGTTAACAGAAGCGGGGAACAGGGATTTAGGGCGGAGCTGTTGCCACACAGAAAAGAGACAAACCTTCTCCTCTGCCTGCCGCTGTCGGGGCTGCACCAGGTGAGCAGACAGACAAAGAGAAAGAGAGAGGGAGACGGGTTTTTATTTACGGGGAACCCGAGTTGATCTCTGCTAGCCAGTTACCTGAAGAGGTGAGCCGTGACTGCCCTGACACAAACATTGCTAGTCCTGAAGGTGCTCCTGGACTCCCACTCTTTTCTGCCGCTGCAAACAGACTAACTCGGCCCACCCATCTTGACCTATCTGAAGAAGTGAACAATGAGTCACGAAAGCTCCTCCCCTACCCCAAATTGTGTGGCTCAGAGGTTAAGACGCTGAGCTGCAGACTGGAAGGTCTGTAGGTCAGCAGTTCGAGACCCGAGTGCCACGTGACGGAGTGAGCTCCCGTCTCTGGCCCCAGCTCCTGCCAACCTAGCAATTTGAACGCCAGAAATTGCAAGGAGATATACAGGTACTGCTTCGGTGGGAAGGCAACAGCGTTCCGTGCGCCTCGGCTTTTAGTCATGTCGGCCACATGACCACAGAAACGTCTTCGGACAGCGCTGGCCCTTCGGCTTGGAAACAGAGATGAGCACCGCAACCCTAGAGTCGGATTCGACTGGCTTTTGAGCAAGGGAAACCTTTACCTTTACCTAAGGTGCTACTGGATTCTTGCTCTTTTCTACCACTACAGGCAGACTAACATGGCTACCCATCTTGATCAACAGCCAATTACCTGTTAGGAAAAACCTATCAAGCAGGAATTTTTCGGCACGAACTCCCTTGAGGAGACAGTGAGTGCGATATAATGGTTAGCACGTCAACCCAAGGATCGGGGAGAGCCAGATTCGAATCCCCACTCTGTTACAGAGATGCCTGCTGCGTGCCCGCGGGCCATTTACATATCGCCGACCTTGCCTACCTCAGAGGGTTGTTGTGAGGATAAAATGGATAGGAGAATGATATAAGCTGCTTCAGGGGGCCTGCTGGGGAGGGGAAAGGTGAGGTATGTATGCAGCAAATAATAAAATACAAGGAAGCTGTGTCTTGCTGTGAAATAAGCCGAGATTGCCGCAGGAGCCCGGAGCAGGAAACAGATCCTCGTGGCTCTGGGAAATGGAGCCCTGAACTGGATGCTCCGAACAATAGACGGGGAAAGTCGCTTGTCAGGCAGGGATAAATATGACTTGGCACGAGGGCAGGCACGGAGTGAGAAACGCCACGTGGGTGGCATCGACGGACACTTCGGCCGTCACTCCAACCAGGGAGACGAAAGGCCCAGCACAGCAAAAGAAATGAAGGCAGTCGGGACAGCGTGTCACAGTGGTTAGAGCACTTGGGAAGAGGCCAGGAAGCAAGGACCTGCGATGGAAGTTTTGCGAGACGGACGAGAGGAACTATGTCTCCAGCTCCTTCAAGCTAGCGAGCCGTTTTTTCCCTCTGGGGAAAAGGTCCACCGGCCATTGCCTTCCCAAATTAATAATGCTTCCGACCAATGTTCCCTCTAAGCTCTGGAGTCTTGTGAGCAAAAATTCTACTTTGTGAACCGCTGGCATTAAAGTTGTGAGTTAGCAATTTGGCTACTGCATAAATTAGTCTGCTCTGGAGACATCCTCCCTGAGCAAGGACAAAAATGTGTGAGCCAGAGGCTAAAAAACTGTGAGCTGGCTCACACTGACTCAGCTTAGAGGTGCTTCTGACACCTGCCAGCCCTTGGGAGCGGCATGCCCGGGAGAAGCGGGGCAGAATCCCACCATCGGCCGACTTACTCCTGCCTTCCACGTTCTGCTCGGTGCTGGCGTAGGTCCGCAGGAACTCCGCGAAGGCCATGTCCTGCTCCAGGAGCTCCTGGTACGACCCCATTTCTGAGATCTTCCCCTCCGTCATCACTATGATCATGTCCATCAGAGGCAGGTAACTCACCCCGTGGGTTACCAGAACCCGAGTCTAGATGCAGAGAGGAAGAAGATGCGATTAAGCCCCCTCCGTAGGCAGCACTGGGAGGGGGAGAGAGGGGGGGTGTCTAGAAACACACAGTGGATCCTCAGCAGGATGAACTACAGAGAACACAGCCTTCCGATGCCGTCTTCGGGACACTCCGTGGGCCTGTTAAGTGTATGAGGAAAGAAGTAAACAAACAGCACTGGGCAGACATTTCTGGGAACTGCAGGAAACTGACTTGCAACCAAGAGAGAGCATCTGAGGTCTTACCTGCTGGGTCAGACCAGGGAGGGTCCATCTAGTTCAGTGCACTTTCTCACACGGTGGCCAACCAGTTCCTCTGGAGGGCCAACTACAGGGCAGAGAGGCCGAGGCCTTCCCCTGAGAAGAACCTCAGAAGAGCCCTGCTGGGTCAGACCAGGGAGGGTCCATCTAGTCCAGCCTCCCATCTCACACAGGGGCCATCCAGTTCCTCTGGAGGGCCAACTACAGGGCAGAGAGGCCGAGGCCTTCCCCTGAGAAGAACCTCAGAAGAGCCCTGCTGGGTCAGACCAGGGAGGGTCCATCTAGTCCAGCCTCCCATCTCACACAGGGGCCATCCAGTTCCTCTGGAGGGCCAACTACAGGGCAGAGAGGCCGAGGCCTTCCCCTGAGAAGAACCTCAGAAGAGCCCTGCTGGGTCAGACCAGGGAGGGTCCATCTAGTCCAGCCTCCCATCTCACACAGGGGCCATCCAGTTCCTCTGGAGGGCCAACTACAGGGCAGAGAGGCCGAGGCCTTCCCCTGAGAAGAACCTCAGAAGAGCCCTGCTGGGTCAGACCAGGGAGGGTCCATCTAGTCCAGCCTCCCATCTCACACAGGGGCCATCCAGTTCCTCTGGAGGGCCAACTACAGGGCAGAGAGGCCGAGGCCTTCCCCTGAGAAGAACCTCAGAAGAGCCCTGCTGGGTCAGACCAGGGAGGGTCCATCTAGTCCAGCCTCCCATCTCACACAGGGGCCATCCAGTTCCTCTGGAGGGCCAACTACAGGGCAGAGAGGCCGAGGCCTTCCCCTGAGAAGAACCTCAGAAGAGCCCTGCTGGGTCAGACCAGGGAGGGTCCATCTAGTCCAGCCTCCCATCTCACACAGGGGCCATCCAGTTCCTCTGGAGGGCCAACTACAGGGCAGAGAGGCCGAGGCCTTCCCCTGAGAAGAACCTCAGAAGAGCCCTGCTGGGTCAGACCAGGGAGGGTCCATCTAGTCCAGCCTCCCATCTCACACAGGGGCCATCCAGTTCCTCTGGAGGGCCAACTACAGGGCAGAGAGGCCGAGGCCTTCCCCTGAGAAGAACCTCAGAAGAGCCCTGCTGGGTCAGACCAGGGAGGGTCCATCTAGTCCAGCCTCCCATCTCACACAGGGGCCATCCAGTTCCTCTGGAGGGCCAACTACAGGGCAGAGAGGCCGAGGCCTTCCCCTGAGAAGAACCTCAGAAGAGCCCTGCTGGGTCAGACCAGGGAGGGTCCATCTAGTCCAGCCTCCCATCTCACACAGGGGCCATCCAGTTCCTCTGGAGGGCCAACTACAGGGCAGAGAGGCCGAGGCCTTCCCCTGAGAAGAACCTCAGAAGAGCCCTGCTGGGTCAGACCAGGGAGGGTCCATCTAGTCCAGCCTCCCATCTCACACAGGGGCCATCCAGTTCCTCTGGAGGGCCAACTACAGGGCAGAGAGGCCGAGGCCTTCCCCTGAGAAGAACCTCAGAAGAGCCCTGCTGGGTCAGACCAGCATCCCTTGACCTTCAGAAAGGATGTTAAGAAGCTGAGTTCCGCCTCCCGCAACCCACACGTACTTTGTTTTTCAGGATTCCCTTTGGCCCGATGACTTGCTCAAAGATGTGCTTCCCAACGTGAGCATCGACCGCCGACAATGGATCGTCCAGCAGGTAGACGTCGGCGTTGCAGTAGACGGCTCGGGCCAGGCTGACCCTTTGCTTCTGGCCCCCGGAGAGATTCACGCCCTGAGGAAGAGGAGGCAGAAGAGGAGGCGAGACATTAAAGCAAATACTCGGACTCTCCTGGCCCGAGGAAGCCTACGAAAAGGAGCAGGTTCACGAGAAAGGTAAAGAAAAAGGAACAAGGTAAAGGTTTCCCTTGCTCGAGAGCCAGTCGAATCCGACTCTAGGGATGCGGTGCTCATCTCCGTTTCCAAGTCAAAGAGCCAGCGCTGTCCGAAGACGTTTCCGTGGTCATGTGGCCGGCATGACTAAACACCAAGGCGCACGGACCGCTGTTCCCTTTCCCACCGAAGCGGTCCCTATTTATCCACTTGCAATTTCTCGCTTTCGAACTGCTAGGTTGGCAGGAGCCGGGGCCAGAGACGGGAGCTCACTCTGTCACGCGGCACTCGGGTCTCGAGCTGCCGAACTACAGACCCAAAAAGCAAAACAACCTGCCGACTCCAAGCCGGCTACCTCCATGCATCAAGGAGCATGGCTCGCCAGCGGTGCCACATGTGGAAGTGGCTGAAGGTTAGAGAGAAGAGGCTGTACAGGCACAAGTTAGGCCTGTTTTGGGGCCTACAACACCATGTGCACTGGAGCCTGGACAATGCATCTGGCGCCAGCCCCCGCAGGCGCAAGGCGTGGAAAGGGACACACAGCCACAACGGCGGTGGTGTTTCAATACCTTTTCTCCAATTTCTGTCTTGTCTCCAGAAGGAAGAGCCTCCAGGTCGGGCACGAGGGCGCAGGCCTCCACCACCCGCTTGTAGTGGCTTTCCTTCCCTTCCCTTCCGAAGATGATGTTCTCCTTTAGCGTCGCGTTCTGGATCCAAGCTTGCTGAGGGACGTAGGCCACAGACCCCTGCGGGGACAGAAGTTAAAGAGCTACCGGAGGAGAACACGGGCCCTGGCAGAAGACGAGCGAGTCCCCCGCCCCAACGGGCAGAACCTCTTCTCGGCCCCCCAGGCCGGCTCTTGCTGACGCGGCCTGTTGGCCCACACGGCTGACGGCAAAACCACCCCAGGTTATTGAACCCCTGACATACAACGCAATACTGTCCAAAGGGCACATAGAGAGAGAAAAGAAGAGGTCTTCCGCCCGATGACAGCCAGCACAGCGTAGTGGTTAAAGTGTTTGACTAGCATCTGGGAGACCCAGGTTCGAATCCCTAGTTTGGTACAGTGATTAGGAGCGTGGACTCTAATCTGGGAGAACTGGGTTTGATTCCCCACTCCTCCACATGCAGCTGCTGGTGTGACCTTGCGCCAGTCACAAGTTCCCTCACAACTGTTCTCTCAAGGGCAGTTCTCTCAGAGCTCTCTCAGCCCCACCTACCTCACGGGGTGTCTGTTGTGGGGGAAGGGAAGGGGAAGGACATTGTAAGCCACTCTGAGACTCTGAGTGAAGGGCAGGGTATAAATCCAATCTCCTCTTCTTCTTCTTCACCACTACACCAGTTTGGAGAGCCAGTTTGGTGTAGTGGTTAAGTGCGCAGACCCTAATCTGGGAGAAACGGGTTTGATTCCCCACTCCTTCACTTGCAGCTGCTGGATGACCTTGGGCAAGCTGTAGTTCTGACAAGAGCTGTCCTTGAAAAAGAGCAGTTTCTGTCAGAGTTCTCTCAGCCCCACCTACCTCACAGGGTGTCTGTCTGTTGTGGGGAGGGGAGGGGAAAGGAGTTTGCAAGCCGCTCTGAGACTCCTTTGTGTAGTGAAGGGCGGGGTATAAATCCAATCTCTCTCTTCTCCTCTTCTGGGAGAACCGGGGGCTGATTCTCCACTCCTCCATATGCAGCTGCTGGTGTGACCTTGCGTCAGTCACAAGTTCCCTCAGAGCTGTTCTTTCAAGGGCCAGTCACACACTCTCAGCCTAACTAGCCTACCTCGCAGGGGTGTTGTGAGGATAAAACGTAGGAGAGGAGAAGGATTTCGTAAGCCGCTTTGGGTCCCCACTAGGGAGGAAGGCGGGGCATGAATGATGCCAATAAATGAATAAGATAATGTGCCAGAACTGAGCATCGAACAGACTGGCAAGGCAATCCAGACAGCTTGAGCGGATGAGCCAAACTGCGTGCTAAAGCGGAAGCAGGAGCCCTTCTGGGATCGGAAGGAAATTCCTTCCTAACTGTCCAGGGTGACCCTGAGACCAACAGGCCTCCTTAGCGGCTGTCGCCTGGGGCCGCCGTGGGGTTTTGCTGTAGTCTCTTTGCTCATACCCCCCCCTTTCGGGCCTCTTTCCCCGTCCCTTCTTTCCCCTCTGGTATGCGCTTCAGGTTTCTTCCCGTTATCCCCTTCCGTGGCCTTGAGCCTGTGGCTTGACCGTGCCGCTTTTGCTGAGAACTTCAAGCCGTTTTTCTGAGGGTGCTTGCATGCCCCCAACTATTGGCTGGCACTCATCTGGGGACCTGTATGAACTAAGTGTAATTACTTGCTTTCCCGCCTGGACTCCATTCTCGACACGGATCGTGTCTAAAGATGACCCAAGTTCCTCTCTCAATAAGTGGAACCTTCTTACAGGGCTTTTGTTGAGTTTGTTTGACTTGGGACTCTGACAGCTGCCAGGGGCCTTGAAAAATGGGCACGAGCGAACTTAAAAATGCGTTTCCTGGCCTGGACAGGCCGTCAAACCGCCAGGACAAACCCCTGGCGAGGTTGGCTTTGGGCTGGCTGACTCCCCTCTTCACACCCCGCGCCTTCAGAAGAGCCTTTAAGAGCACGGAAGCCGTTTCCTCGGCCCCACCTTGACCGACACCGAGCCGTCCTTCTTTTCCATCTCTCCCAGCAGCGCAGACAGCAGTGAGGATTTGCCACAACCGACCTGGCCGACGATGGCCACCAAGCGGCATTCCGGGACGGCGAAATCGATGCTGGAACACAAGAGCGCATACTTCAGCACTGCGGCGGTTGAAGGGCCGAGAGAGACCAACCAGCATTCTTCCAGGATCGAGTTAAAGACGGGAGGGAAATAGATCGCTCTAACCACCAACCAGCTTGGCTTTTATTCCCACACCTTTATTTTGAGAGTACGTCCGAGAGAAACCCACTCGAGGGCAATGTACCCTCTAAGCTGTGGAGTCTTGTGAGCAAAAATGCTACTTTGTGAGCCGCTGGCATTAATGTTGTGAGCGAGCAATTTGGCTCCTGCATAAATTAGTTTGCTCTGGAGCCCTCCTTCCTGAGCTATGACAAAAATCTGTGAGCCGGAGGTTAAAAAGCTGTGAGCTAGCTCACATTAACTCAGCCTAGAGGGGACACCGGTCGAGGGTACTGGTAGGGTCTCTTCAGCCAAAATGAATCTTCCACACAGATATCGCTTCCGTAACGGGAATTCCATGTACACCGTCGGGAAGGTGACTGATCTGAATTCGGTTCGTGTTTCTATCTGCATCTTAACACACCAAATTCTGCTTCCTTTCTTTAGCTGAAGATAAGCTAGGCCCAAAGCTCACCCTTCACTTGAGATGCGAAGGAAAATAGAATCAGGAAACTGCCCCCCCCCCCGACTTGCTTACGGGGTGGGGGGACTGAGAAATGTGGGGGATAACACCGAGGGGAAAATTCCTATTAAATATTTTTTCTTTGAAAGGAGTGAAATGCTTTAAAAGATAATGTTTTAGCAATGTTCCCTCTAAGCTGTGGAGTCTTGTGAGCAAAAATTCTACCTTGTGGGCTACTGGCAAGCGATTTGGTTACTGCATAAATTAGTTTGCTCTGGAGCCACCCTTCCTGAGCTAAGACAAAAATGTGGGAGCCAGAGGCTAAAAAACTGTGAGCTAGCTCACACTAACTCAGCTTAGAGGGAACACTGGTTGGGGGATTTTTTAAATTCAATTTTTATCAATAACCATTTTAGGCAGTGATGATAAATGCTTCGTGATTTTTGGAATGAGAAAAATGAACTAAAAGAACATACAGCGGAGGCATTTGCAACTCTCTCTTGGCTTTAGCACTGGATGTATTAGCAATTTTGCCGATAGAAAACTAAGGAATTATTCTAAATTCCATAAATGTGCTTATAATTTTACACTCTTAAGTTATAAATATTGCATTTTAGGCTGGCAAAGGAGCAAAATGGGTTTAGTTTTGAAAGGAAAGTTAAGTATTGCATATATTTCGACTTTTCCCCCGAATTGAAAAAAACATTTCCCTGGGGAAAAAGGGAAAATGCTTTCCACCATGGCTTCAGGATTCCTGGACATTTTTACATCTCTACCCAACACAACCCAAAGACAGGCTGTCAAATAACTGTCTGACATAAAAGAGGCAATGAATGCATGACCCTCAAATATGGTGGCAGACAATGACACAAATTTTACTTCGGACCACAATCAAGAGGGAATGAAGGAAAAAACACACTCAGCTCTCACTTATTCAAAATCGGAGGATCACTTCTCGACCAACTGAAGGTTGCGTTCTTCACAATGATGCTGTTGCCGTCAGCTAGCGGGCCACAAAAGGGAATTAAACACAACAGTAAATTCAGCGTTCATACTTTCAGGAAGGCAGCTGTGTCGGACCGCAGTAGGAGAGCTGGATTCGAGTTCAGTACGGTAGAAGAAAAAGAAGAGATTGGATTTATACCCTGCCCTTCACTTGGCGTCTCAGAGCGGCTTACAGTCTCCTTCCTCCTCACAAAAGACACCCTGTGAGGTAGGTGGGGCTGAGAGAGCTCTTTCGAGGACTGCTCTTGAGAGAACAGCTCCGAGGAAACTGTGACTGACCCAAGGTCACACCAGCAGCTGCCATGTAGAGGAGTGGCAAAAAACCCAGTTCCCTCCAGATTAGAGTCCATCGCTCTTAACCACGACACCAAACTGGCCTCGTATCTGACGAAGGGAGTGTTGACTCTCAAATGCACATTCACCCAAAAATCTTGTTGCCCAAGGTTCTCCTGGACTCGAATCCCGCTCTTCAGTTTTCACACTTACAATCAATCCACGTGGGTGCACGTGTCCCAAAGACATTAACACCACAACAGTGTTAATGTTTTTTTAAAGGGCTGAGAACTGAAGAAGCAGCTCCTGACCCTTCACCAAAATATGGATTTCCAGCCTCAGGTTTTAACCTGTAAGGCAAGTGAGACCCCTGGGGAGGGATTCCACAGAGGAAAATAGGTGGGCGCTGGAGGAGTTGATTCCCCCCGCCATCATCTGCCTCCCTTCCCACACTTGCCTTGTGAGGAAACACAACAGGAAACCTCAGGTTTGGGACCAAGCAAGTCATAACCCCACCGCGCTTATGGAAACCCACACCTGTGCATGCTCACGTGCAGAGACACACAGCCTCCCCCTCTAACTGTAACCAGCATAACCTGGGAAATCCAAGCAGCCAGCAGAGCTGTGGCCGTTTGAGCTCTTCAGAGAAGGATTCTGCAGGTCTATGAAATCACTCATGCAGAAGGCACGAGGACTACGGGGGAAGAAGAGCAAGCCACAGTTACCGTGGCCCTACCTGCGTCTCTGTGCAAACTACATCTTGTCATCATCAGTAGGAAGAAGAGGAGACTGGATTTATACCCCACCCTTCACTACCCGAAGGAGTCTCCGAGTGGCTTACGATCTCCTTTCCCTTCCCCTCCCCACAACAGACACCCTGGGAGGTAGGTGGGGCTCTGAAAGAGCTCTTTCGAGGACTGCTCCTTCCAGAACAGCTCTGAGAGAACTCGTGACTGACCCAAGGTCACGCCAGCAGGTGCAAGTGGAGGAGTGGGGAATCAAACCAGATTCTCCTAGATTAGAGTCTGCGGTCCCAACCACTACACCAAACTGGCTCTCCTAACGAGATGCTAAAATCTTTCTCACGTGTTAAGATGCAAACTATCTGTCTGGGACCATTTTTCTGTCGTTCAGTCGCACAGTCGAGTCCGACTCTTTGTGACCACATGAACAAGATCACGCCAGGCCTTCCTGTCTTCCGCCGTCCTCTGAAGTTGGCTCAATTTCATGTTCATTGCATCTGTGACACTGTCTGACCATCTCATCCTTTGCCGTCCCCGTCTTCTCTGACCTTCAATCTTTCCCAGCATCAGGGTCTTCTCCAGTGAGTGGCCAAAGTCTTTGAGCTTCAGTTTCATTATCTGGCCTTCCAGGGAACAGTCAGGGTTGATTTCTTTTGGAAGATGCTTGAGAAGCCATCTTGAAGACTGAACAACTTTGACATGGGAGTCTTGGCTGAGGAGCAGGGAATGCTTCGAAACTTCCCTCCCCAGGGAAATCTGTCTGTCTCCCCTTATTGGTGTCTTAAGTCATCCCAATAACTGTTACTGGCCTCCTCCCTGGTGTTGCTTATGTGTTTTTACGGAACTATTTCATACATTTAAATATTTTTAATTGTGCAACTGTTCGAATGTTTTTAGGTCGGCCACCTTGAGGACCCTGATTGGGTGGAAAGGTGGCATTACAAACACCTTTTAAAAATAAATGAATAAGCAAGCAAGCTTACAGTCTTTGAGAGCGCCTCTGATGATGCTGTCCGGATCTAGCTCTTCGTGCGACAGGAATACTCGGAGACGCTTGAGAGACACGCTGGCCTAGATGTGAAAACAACAAGGTTGTGAACGTACCACTCCCATTTTTTAAAAAATGAAGTCGCCCAACGGTGTTCCCTCCCAAAACTCTCGGTCGCCACCGCTGAGTGACCAGCGAAGCTCTGGAGCCTTGTCAAATACTCCGAGGGAAAGCGGAGTATCACTAAAGACTCCACTAAAGACTCCAAAGCCAGAAACAGGGAACAAAAAACTCAAGTTCCCAGTGATCAATACAAGTTCAGACAGCCGCTAACGCTCCCCTTCAGGACAAAGACGAACACTACCAGGTCCTGAATTCTTCCCTGGCTGGGATCGTAGACACGACTCAGAGCACAACCCTCCCTGCCCCTTCTCCGGTCCCTCTTCCCACCACATTCACCATGGCGGCAGCGGCTGCTACACCAGTGCTGGCTGGACTCAGAAACTCCTGGGAAATGTAGCCCTCGGGGTCCCTGAAGCCACGGGCCTCAGACTTCTAATTTCATCTTTCCTCATGGCTCAGGGCAGCTTGCAAACCCGACATGACAATGTACAAAATACAATAACGGGCCACCCTTCCCTGCTACAAAAATGCCACCAATCCACAACCGACCCCAAGCCTGGGGCGAGCAGAAGAACTCAGAACCTAAAAAGGTTAGTCAAGAATGGAAGAGGGCCAGCTCTAAAACTCTAATTATGAAACATACAAAAATATACATGTATTTATTAAACACAAATTAAAATCACAAATAAGGGCCCATTCATACCTCATACACAAATATAATGTAATGCAATACAAATACAATGTAGTAATAATAATAATAATGCAAACAGAACATATCGGCTAATATGTAAAAACATATACAATCATACATATACAAAATATGAAATAAAGACCAGAACACAATTGTTCCAAAGTTTAACCACTGGGCAAAAATACAAATGAAGCCTCCAGTGCAATCACATGTCCAGTGGTACTTCTCTCTGGTCAACTATACATTCTCCGGAGATTGTATAGCCAAATGTTCCCAATGAAATATAGTGAAGGCCGAAACGCGTTAGGTCTACTTCATCAGCCTTTGTATTTTTATATTTGTATATGAGGCATGAATGGGCCCTTATTTGTGATTTTAATTTGTGTTTAATAAATACATGAATATTTTTGTATGTTTCATAATTAGATTTTTAGAGCTGGCCCTCTTCCATTCTTGACTAACCTTTTTAGGTTCTGAATTCTAGGTTTTAGGTTCAGTTTTTTCCCCCTTTTCCCCCTTAGGGAACAGAGGAACATCATTCCACGGGGAACGTATTCCATAAGAGTGCGGAGGCAGATCAAGACGGGCGGCCCTGTGAGTCCGTCTGTAGCAGGAGAAAAGAGCCAGAGGCCAGCAGCAACCTTGAAGACCAACCACATTTGTGGCAGGGGAGGAGCTTTCCTGAGTCACGGCTCACTCCTTCAGATATCTGAAGAAGTAAGCCGTGACTCAGGAAAGCGCCTCCCCAGCCATAGGTTTTGTCAGTCTCTTCTTCAAAGGGTTCCTGGACTCTTGCTTTTTTCTACCTTATAGCGTGGAGGTTCCCGCCTGCCTATTTTAGCCACATGGGCAGGGCCCACGGATGAAACTGCAGTGCCACGCTCCCAGTGACATGCCTGTGTCCCAGCCATGCCCTTCTCCCCTTTCTCTCTTTCAAGCGGTTAATTAAGAGAGCACTAATGGATAAGGTTGCTAACCTCCAGGCGGGACCTGGGGATCCCCTGGAATTACAGCTCATCTCCAGACTAGAGAGATCAGCTCCACTGGAGAAATCCCCTGCTTTGAACATAAGAACCTAAGAGAAGCCCGTGTTGGTTCAGGCCAGTGGCCCCTCCAGCCCAACACTCTGTCACACAGTGGCCAAAAAGACCAGGTGCCATCAGGAGGTCCAGCAGTGGGGCCAGGACACCAGAAGCCCTCCCACTGTTGCTCCCCCCCCCACAAGCACCAAGAACACAGGGCATCCCTTGCCCCAGCCGGAGAGTTTCTATTTACATCTTCTGGCTAATAGCCACGGATGGACCTCTGCTCCATATTAAGAACATAAGAGAAGCCAATGTTGGTTCAGGCCAGTGGCCCATCCAGTCCGACACTCATTGTGTCACACAGTGGCCAAAAATACCAGGTGCCATCAGGAGGTCCAGCAGTGGGGCCAGGACACTAGAAGCCCTCCCACTGTTGCCACCCCCCCCAAGCACCAAGAACACAGGGCATCCCTTGCCCCAGCCGGAGAGTTTCTATTTACACCTTCTGGCTAATAGCCACTGATGGACCTCTGCTCCATATTAAGAACATAAGAGAAGCCAATGTTGGTTCAGGCCAATGGCCCATCCAGTCCAACAGTCTGTGTCACACAGTGGCTAAAAAGACCAGGTGCCCTCAGGAGGTCCAGCAGTGGGGCCAGGACACTAGAAGCCCTCCCACTGCTTCCCCCCCCCCCAAGAGCACCAAGAATACAGGGCATCCCTTGCCCCAGACCGAGAGTTCCTATCTATCCCTTGTGGCTAATAGGGTTAGGCTTATCTATAAGAACATAAGAGATGCCAATGTTGGATCAGGCCAAAGGCCCATCCAGTCCAACACTCTGTCACACAGTGGCCAAAAGTACCAGGTGCCACCAGGAGGTCCACCAGTGGGGCCAGGACTCTGTGGAGGGTGGACTCTGTGGCATCCCACTTTGCTAAGGCCCCTCCCCTCCCCCAAACCCCACCCACCCCAGGCTCCACCCCCAAAGTCTCCAGGTATTTCCCAACCCGGAGCTGGTACCCTTACGAGCAGTGGTCCACCGCTTTCAAGGAATGCATGCGAGTCACACGAAGCGGCTTTTAGGGGAAAATATTATTTCAAAATGGGGCACACCGCAAAGCATGCCCGAAGACCTGAGACAAGCACTCTGGATTCTTACTTGGACGATGCTGCTGATAACCATCGGGAGGATGTTGAGGGGAAACCGGAGGATGTTGAACAGGGCCAGGGACACAAAAGCCTTCTGAGCATCCAAGACGTTCTTGTCAGAAATGGTCACAAAGACAGCAAAAGTTGACAAAGCGACCTAGAAATAAAGGTGGGGTGTGTATGTCAGAGACACAGTCAGGAGAGTGTTTTCCCTCGCATCGTCAGCAAGTCCATCTTTTGCTGTCAGCTGATGTAAGAGCGGAAAATACAACTACCCACACATACGCTAGCCACCCTCCGTGACATCTGGCCCCCAAGCGGAGCGACTTCTCATGCATTTTCTCCCGCTGCTTCCTCTAAAAGGCCCTAGGACAGGGGTCCCCAACCCCTTTTCAGCCTGTGGGCACCTCTGGAATTCTGACACAGCGTGGTGGGTGCAGCCACAAAATGGCTGCCACAAAATGGCTGCCTCGGGAGGCGGAGCCAGCCACAAAATGGCTGCCACAAAATGGCTGCCGCGGGAGGCAGAGCCAGCCACAAAATGGCTGCCCCAGCTCACCTTTAGTACTGAAGGTCCTTGTACTATGGGGGCACCTTCGGCCAAAGCAACATTTTTGAAAATCTGTAGCGCCAATCAAATCTCCCCTGGCCAATCAGATGTCTTGCCCTGGCCTATTGGCCCTGCACACTTCCAAGAGCAGTTGGTGGGCACCAGGAAAAGGTGTTGGGGACCCCCTACTCTAGGAACACAGGACTATGTTGAGGAGTAGAAACAGACCCCGGAGACAGATGCACAGCAACAGAGATTCGGAGTGGGTGCGTTTGAGCACCCAGGGCTAGGACCTCTCGGCTTGCTTCCCTGAGGAAGCCGCCCTCACGTTCCCTCTTTGCCAAGAGACCTCCGGCAACAAAGCCCTCAAGACAAAGGATCCGTTTTCAAAAGCTGCTGATTATTTACTTGTTCCTAAGCACAGAGGTGGGCGATCTCGCCGGCTTCCTGTGCTCACGCATGGCTCCCAGTCACCCATTGTCTTCAAGGACTGTACAAATATTTAATCTTCCGTACCGAATGCGCCAAAGAATGTTCCCAACGGCAGAACTGGGCTGCGGAATTGGAGCCACCAGGGCAGAGCTGGGAAACTGGTTTTCAAGGGCAAAGCCGGCAACTAGAGAACACAACCGTCAGGTCCGCAAAACAGACCGTGTCTGTAGTCGAGAGTTTTGCCCACCTCCCAACACCTGGTGGCTAAGCGGAACTGAAGGCATCCAAACATTCAGCATCTCGCTAGATTTTCTCGTACTCTACCTCGAAGAAACCCGATTCCGGTACTTGGACTGTCCAAGCCACAGAAATCAAAATACATTTTCCTGACTGACTTCCCAGTGCAGTGGTTAGCGTGCCAGAGTATTAGAAGAAGAGGTTTGATTTATGCCCTGCTCTTCTCACTTGGAGTCTCAGAGCGGCTTCCAATCTCCTTTCCCTTCCCCTCCCCACAACAGACATCCCGTGAGGTAGGTGGGGCTGAGAGAGCTCTTTCGAGGACTGCTCCTGAGAGAACAGCTCTGAGAGAACTTGTGACTGACCCAAAGTCGCACCAGCAGCTGCATGTGAAGGAGTGGGGAATCAAACCCGGTTCTCCCAAATTAGAGTCCGCTGCTCCTAACCACTACATCAAACTGGGAGACCCAGTTTCGAATCCGCACTTTGCCATGAAAGGTCACTGGGTGACCTTGGGCCAGTCACATGCCTAATCTACCTTACAGGGCAGCTGTGAGGATAAAATGGAGGAAAGGATTTTGGAGGTCAGGTTTGAATCCCCACTCTCCAATGGAGAGTGATCTTGGGGCTGTCATACATACACTAAGCCTAACCTACCTCACAGGGTTGTTGTGAGGATAACACAGAGGAAATGATCTTGAAGGCCGAAGTTCAAATCCCCACGTTGCCTTGGAAGCTCACTGGGTGACCATGTGTCAGTCACACACATTTGTAGCCTAACTTACCTCTGAGGGCTGTTGTGAGGAGAAAATGGAGAAATGGCTCTGGGAGACCAGGTCCAAATTCCCACTTACTTTGCCACGGAAGCTTGCTAAGTGAGCTTGGGCCTGTCAACACCCAAACTCAGCCTAACCTACCTCACAGGGATGTTGTGAGGAGAAAACAGCGGAGAAGAGAACAACGCAAGCCTCTGTCGGTCCTCAGTGAGGAGAAAGGCGAAAGATAAAGTAAAATAAATAGATTCAAGTTTCTAATGAAGACCAGAGCGACATCTGGACTGGCAAAGGAGAAGCAGAAGCAGCCCAGCTCCTCCGCCTTCTCCGGTCATCGCCCATGCTTCACAACACTGCCACGAGGCCTAGAAAGAGTATTATTTTCCAAACACAAGGAGAAGAACATGAGAGAAGCCGGTGCTGGATCAGGCCAGTGGCCCGTCCAGTCCAACACTCGGTCACACAGTGGCCAAAAATACCAGGTTCCAGAACCTGACAAAGGTTAGTCAAATGTAGGAAAGGGGGCCAATATTAAAAACTTAATGAAGGAAATATATAAAAAATACACGTATTTATTAATCACAAATTTTACAGTTATATAAGAGCCCAATCACACATTATGTATAAATAACAAACGATAAAACACAAGGGCTGATCCACCTGACCTGACGTGTTTCGGCCTACACAGGCCTTCTTCAGAGGTCAATAGTGAGGAACATATTGGCTATTATACAAATACAAGGGGTGGACTCGCGATACTCGCGGGGGGTGGGGCCCTCGCCGCTCGGCCCTCGCCGCTCTCTCCCCTTCCCCCCTGGCTCTGAAGCCTCACGGCTTTTTCTTCTTCCCCCCGGCTCCGAGGGCCCCCCTCCCGGCTCGCCGCTCACCTTCCAAGCGGCGGCTGCAGAGCGTTCCCTGCGCATGCGCAGGGGACGCTCTGTGAGTTTCGGGGGGATTTAAACATCCCCCTAATGTTTTTTTGCAGATTTAGGATTTTTGTGCACACGTGGGGACCGCCCCACGTGCGCACAAACCTCTAGGTCCCCCCGATGTGCGGATTTAAGTATCCGCACAGGGGGCGACTTGAGAATTAGATATATAGATAGTGCAATCATATAAATACAAAGTATACATTCAATGAGGACCAGAAGCAAGTTGTTTCAAGATAAAACCACCCAGGCACAGAGTAAAAAGTGCACATGAGGCCTCTAAAAGCTCTTTGCTTGAGGTCAATTTGGCTCTACAACCATAGGAAGGCGATTCCTGGACCAGACGTTTATATCTGAGGACCACTTGGCATGTGATTGCACTTTTAGAGGCCTCATTTGTACTTTTTACTCTGTGCCTGGTGGAAGCTGGAGCAGTGATGGGACTTCCACTGGCGTTCCCCAGAGGCACCTCTCTTCTCTCAGCCCAATTTTAATTGCTCCTTTCTTGTTTAATCCTCTGCCCGAACACGCTTGAGGAGGCATGAAAGGCAGCGCCGGCCGTTTCCTATTCAGACCGCCACTCGCCACTGCTGCAAGGCAAACAAGGGCAGCAGCCAAACCTGCCTGGAAGGAGCACTTGGCGCTTACAGGAGGAACAACACATTTTTTAGCCTAATATGTAGCCAGGGCGCGCGGGCCTCTGCCAGGAGAGAGAGCGGCAAGCAGCGCCCTTTCTCTGGGCTGAGTTGCCAGCCGTTGCCACACAACCCCCTGCACTGTGCTAATGGCTAATGAGAGAACCCAGCCAGCAGGCAGACGAGGGAAGAGCGAGGCGGGAGGTGTTCCCTGGGGTTCCCTGCACATCATCTGAAGAAGCGAGCCCTGACTCACGGAAGCTGAATGCAAAGGAATGCAAGTGGGGAAACCTTCACCGTCAGCCCGAACCTGGCAGGAGACAGGAGGGCTGGCCATGAAGCCCCCCCCCCCCAGCAGGCAGGCTCGATGGGGCTGGGAGAAATAAGCGCGAGGGCCAATGTGACACCAAGGGTCGGACTGGGGGGGGGGGGAACGGGCCTAGAAATGAATGAATGGGGTCCCAAGTTGGCCCTCAGCCGCCATCCCAAGAAGAAGAAGAAAAAGAAGAGATTGGATTGATACCCTGCCCTTCGCTACCCAAAGGAGTCTCAGAGCGGCTTACAAACTCTTTTCCCTTCCCCTCCCCACAACAGACACCCTGTGAGGTAGGCGATGCTGAGAGAGCTCTTTCGAGGACTGCCCTTGAGGGAACAGCTCTGAGATAACTTGTGACTGACCCAAGGTCACGCCAGCAGCTGCATGTGGAGAAGGAGTGGGGAATCAAACCCGGTTCTCCGAGATTAGAGTCCACTCAGTGGCAGAGAAGAAGGAGAAGGAGAAGAGGAAGAGGAGATTGGATTTATACCCTGCCCTTCACTACCCGAAGGAGTCACAGAGCGGATTACAATCTTCTTCCCCTTCCTCTCCCCACAACAGGCACCTTGTGAGGTAGGTGGGGCTGAGAGAGCTCTCTCGAGAACTGCCCTTCAGAGAAAAGCTCTGAAAGAACTTGTGACTGACCCAGGGTCACACCAGCAGCTGCATATGGAGAAGTGGGGAATCAAACCGGGTTCTCCCAGATTAGAGTCCGCGCTTTTAACCATTACACCAAGAGGTGTGGGCAGAGAATGTGGGGGCAGTCCCCCTTGGGAGTGGAGGAATGTCCACCTCTAAGTGGCCGTCCGGTAAACCCTAGTTGTAGACCAGAGTACTACCCTGTTTCCCCGAAAATAAGACCTACCCCAAAAATAAGCCCTAGCAGGATTTCTATGCATGTGTGGTATAAGCCCTAGTGTGTCTTCTTGAGAAAAAATAAATATAAGACAGTGTCTTATTTTCGGGGAAACACGGTAGGAGCAAACACTTTCTTGCATTTAACTAACCTTTGTCAGGTTCTGGATTTTAAGTTTTAGGGTTTTTTCCCCCCCTTTCCCCCTTTTTTGTCCTTTTAAAACCGTAGTTGTAGACCAGAGTACTAGAAGCAAGTTGCAGCCCACTAGTAGCCAACAAGTGCCCCTTGAGCACAGGGAAGAACATTACAATTCAAAAACAACAGAAACGGCTTCCACTGCTTTGGAGGAGGAGGAGATTGGATTTATACCCAGCCCTTCACTACCCGAAGGAGTCTCCGAGCGGCTGACAATCTCCTTTCCCTTCCCCTCCCCACAACAGACACCCTGTGAGGTAGGCGGGGCTGAGAGAGCTCTTTCGAGAACTACTCGCGAGAGAACTGCTGTGAGACAACTTGTGACTGACCCAAGGTCACGCCAGCAGCTGCATGTGGAGGAGGAGTGGGGAATCAAACCCGGTTCTCGCAGATTAGGGTTGGAGCTCCTAAGCACTACGCCAAACTGGATCTCTTTTTGCGGCATTCCCTTTTAAAAAAATAACCGAGCACGGCAAGATACGGGGATGTGTACACCGAGCCAAATACAACGTATGGGGAATTATTTAGAAACACATTGGGGGGGGGGGATGACGCCAGCCCAGGATTCCGCCCCCGGCACGGCAGCAGATTTCCCCGGAGACCTGGCCGCACTCACCAGGAAGGGGGCGCACACCCAGGTGAAGGTGCCGAAGGCCGCCAGGTACGCCGACTTCTTGAGCACCTTCAGCTCCTCCTGCCGGATGCCCAGGACCTTCTCCTTGAAGGCCAGCTCCCAGGCGTAGAGCTTCAGCACCTTGATCCCGTTGAGGACCTCGTTCATCAGCTTGATCCGGTTGTCTTTGCTCTTCATGTGAGCCACCTGGAACGACCCGATCGGCAAGGGAGAACGAGTCACACGACCAGGGGTCATTTCGCAGGAAAAGAGGTGCAGGAGCTCATTAGCATAACTTATTCGCATAGGCCACACCCCCTGACATCACCGGAAGTGTGTCAGAAGGCAACACCCACCGCTCAGGCTCCACTGGACTGCAATTGGGGGGGGGGACATGCAGATCTGCCCTCGCAGAGGAGGGCGAGCTTGTACCTGAATAAAACTCGCTCACACTAATCCCAGCTTAGAGGGAACACTGATCCCTCTCTGGAACAAACACCAAACTGGCATTCAGGTGTTGCGTTGGTTTTTTTATATACCTGCAGGCTACAAAAATGGGAGCTTGTAGCTGAGCCTCATGAAGCATAAATCATATTTATAACCAGGGGTCATTTAGTAGAAAAAGAGGTGCAGGAGCTCATTAGCATAACTCATTAGCATAGCTTATTTGCATATGCCACACCCCCTGACATCACCGGAAGTGTGTCAGAAGGCAACACCCACCGCTCAGGCTCCACTGGACTGTTTTGGATTGCTAGCTATTGGGGGG